CATGCCACCGAATCCGCGTGACCAGCGGACCTCCCGCAGGCGCACCGCCGAATCCGCATGACCAGCGAACCTCCCGCAGGCGCACCGCCAAAAGCCGCCGGACTGCCGTGCTTGGGGCAACACAAAACATAGAGCCGCCCCTGACCTCTACCCAAAGGGGTAGTATAATCTGTCACAATAATAAATAAATAAATAAATAAATGCCATGGACAGTTCCTCTAAGCTATTCCATTCCACACAGATGCCATTTATATTAATTACTATTTTGAATGTGGATAAATAATGGATGGACTTAGTGAGACTTCCCCCTCCCCCTCCCAATATTTGTAGGAAACTTTAAAAGATCCTCTCTAGTGATAGACAACCAGCACAGCTAGCACAGTTTGGTATTTAGGAAATTCTAGTTTTCTCTTGTAGTCGTTAATGAAACTATTTCTGTTTACCTACCCACCGTGGCTGCCTAAATGAATTGTCCCAGCTGCCAAGCTAGTGCATTGTAATGGAGATTTCAGTTCTCAGCAGCTTATTGAAGTACTCTGTAATTTTGAGTAAGAATGCTGTTTCTCCGTTAATAGTTGAAAAACCTAAAATCACCAATTTATCCCTTTGATGAATCCAGATCTGTGCAGCACATTTATGGCCTGGGCTTGAAAATTACACATGCTCTCAGTGTTGGTGCTATGCATAGGAAGCTTAAGCAATTGCTTGGGGCCCCCTGTTTGCTTTTTTAGTATGTGTTGTGTGTGGGGAAGCCCCCCTCCAAATATTCCTGATTAAGGCCCCCAGCAGTGGGCTAGAGCGGTCTCTACATGCACTGGTCCATGATGGGAGCTAAAAATTAGGCTCCACATAGATGATTTCAAAGTGTATTTTTCCCTACTTAAATAAAATGCTTCAGAAAGAAGGGATACATGTTAAGTATGAGGTGCTGAGTTGAGGACAGTTAACACTAAACTACTCTTAAATTTGCTCTGTCATTGTCATTTTCTTAGATGGCTTCAGTAACAGATGCCAGATACAGACACAATGATGCTTCAGACCAAAATTTCGATTATATGTTCAAACTCCTGATCATTGGCAACAGCAGTGTGGGCAAAACGTCCTTCCTCTTCAGATACGTCGATGACACTTTCACACCAGCTTTTGTTAGCACAGTCGGAATTGACTTCAAAGTGAAAACGGTTTACAGGAATGACAAGCGGGTGAAACTGCAGATCTGGGTAAGTGCTGGCACTTGCCAAATATTTTATTTAAACCTGAGCGAAGATATATCAGAAAAAGTAATCATAAATGCTAAGAACAAAATAATTTAAAGCATTTGGCTTTTTGAAAGGAAATCCTGGATTATTCTAGGTTTATTATTCATGGGGTTTTGTGGGGTTGTATCTTTTCCCCAAACTTGGAGACATGAAATCTGATCAGCTCATATCCACCAAATATATTTGCATCTCCCTACAATATTGCACTGCTGAGCAGAAACAGGTGAATTCACTCCAACTACTGAGGGTCCTCCCACACATAGCTACAGGGAGTGAGGGTGTGTGACATGGTATACCAGGCTCAGAGGCTCCCTGCTGGAGGCCTCTGGGTCCTATCACTAGAGCGTCGTGTCTGTCATGGAGGTCGCGGAAGTCATGAATTCTGTGACTTTCTGCAATCTCCATGACTTCTACAGCGGCCGGTGTGGCTGGCCCCGGGGATCGCCTGAGCAACGGCTGGTGTGGCTGCCTGAGCAGCGGTCCTGGGGGCGCCCCCCAGCAGCCGGTGCTGCTGGCCCTCTGGTTCCCACCCCCAGCAGCAGCTTCCCAGTTCCCCCCAGAGCAGTACCGCCCCCCCCCCCAAGATTTAGTCAGGGCTATTTTTAGTAAAAGTCATGGCCCAGTCACAGGCCATCAATTTTTGTTTATTGCCCATGACCTGTCCATGACTTCTTTTTTACTAAAAATACCCATGACTAAATCGTAGCCTTACTTATCGCACCTGTCACAGAAAAAGGGCAGTAGAGAAGCAATCCAAGCGACCTAGAGAGACTGCGCGGGAAGTGGCCATTAGCCACCGGGGAAGTGGCCTGAATATTTGACACACCACTGGAAGGGGTCCTGAACTGTTAGTGGCCCAGCTGGAGAGCTGGGGCCAGAAAGTCTCAGAGTGGGCAAAACCATTGCCTCCAGAGAAGAAGGCCTGGGGGTACAGCTCGATACTAGGCCTGGGACTGTATAAAGACTGAGAGGCCTTGCGATAGGTCTCTGTTGGATTGTCTGGGAAGGGGGTCGTTTTGTTTGTATTATCTACAGATTGTGTGGGACTCAGCTAGAGGGCTGAGTCATTGAAACCGCTGACAGGGTCACCATAAACTGAAAGAGAGTACAGGCACATGCACATGGCCAGGGGGCACTTGCAAGAGGTGAGTGCCACTCCGTTAAAGGGTGCTAAAAGACAGCTCTGGTGAAACCACATCAAATGTCAACTAGAAGGAGAGATTCATACAAAAACCCAGTCATATAATTTCTGTAATGAGCCAGAATTTCACTGTCAAGTCAGCAAAATATCTAAGATTCCTGAACTACAGAGTACAGCACAGGGCTACAACTAAGCAACCATGCTATGAGTTCATCATGTTTCTTTTATGAAGTGCAAATATTTTAGAAACATTTTTTTTATTACATGTGACAGATGACTTCAAATTCATTTATGCAGCAAAATTGACCCTGATAGTGTTTAACCTTTCAGATACCCCAGAAAATTTGCATTCAAACTGTGTTGGAAAGCTGTGCTCAGGCTTTTGTGTTTTGAAGAATTAGAAAGCACCCACTTGGAATTCTCTAGCAAAATACTCCCATTTGTATTAAACACGTGAAAAAGATATCAAACGGAGAGAGAAGGGCAGCTATCAAACCAAATTCCAGAGAGCCAGCTGCAGCAGCTTAAAATGGTTCTCTGTATAGCTTTGTCTCCAGACTAATTAAACAGAGAGGCACCGGATATAAGGTTAGTTGAAACAATGTGTTGTCATTTTCCAGACATTTCTAGCCAATAGAAAAATGGCAGATGCACAGTGTTCTAATTAATCCATATGCAATGGATTCATAACTAATCCTTTAGTTTCTAGATTAAATATATACCACTGTACAAAGCACATCATTCTGACCTGCTGCTGTCCTGATTTGAGAGTGGGCATCTAATCAGAGGATTTTTTTTTAACTAAAGCATTTTCCATAGTAAATATATAATTAATTTGATCTCTTATGTATCCAGCTGCAAGGTACAACAGATTTAATAGCAATACAATCTTTGCCATGTTGCTAGATTTTGGTAATAAAATAAAACTGATATATAGGTTGGCACAGATCTAGCTGTGAAATTATTTGATTTAGTATTTGGGTTATGAGGATATGTCAGAGTTTAAAGCCATTACCAAATTAAACATGTTTCTCCTCCTGTGTTTGACTTTATTACAGGACATCATGTCCCTGCTGTTAATGAAGTTTGTAAAAGGAAGGCAAACTCTATAAAGTTATGTGAGGTTTATCAAGAACATTCTAAATAAAATTTAGAATTAATCAAAAGTTTTAAATAAATGTTTGAATTCTTCTGGAAAAACCTTAAACTTGAAAAGAGATAATATACTATGTTGCTTTTTCAGAGAGAAGTCACTAAAATAGTAGGATTTGTAATATTCGAGTATCAACAACATTAATGTATGTTGATTTAAAATGAAAAATTAAGTACTTAACAATTCCAGGGTGACGTGCTTTTATTTTTATATCCCTTTCACAGATCCGTAATATGAACCATAACTTAAGAGTTTTAACAAAAATTTTAAGTAGGTACCTTTTAAAACCACTTAATATTTCAACCTGTTTTGAGCTCATTTGCTCTTGTCATAAACCTGAATCTGTAACTTGAATGTAAGCATTAAACAAAGCATGGTACTGGTGGCTATTAACAGACCAAAATCTGAGCCCTTACAAGGCACAAAATGCAACTGAGTGCTCGTAGGTGGATGAAAGGAATTGTTTTCTTGTAAATGTATCTCCTGGTGTTAATTTTGCTTCTTTTCTTTTTAAAAATTGATTTACAGAGCCTACATTAGACTCTAATCTGTTTAAATACTGATGGTACCACTCCCCATTGATTTCAATGGGACCATATGCAGAGAAAGATACTACTCAATGTGAATGAGGGAACAGGGTCAGGCTTTTCTTTGTATTCGTGCATGAGAAGCAGAACAATGGGTGAAACTGACTATAAACAAAAATGAAATCGGCTGTTAACTATGAAGGGCAAAAAGTAAACAGTTTACATCTTGAAAAATTCTCTGTTTTAGTAATGCAAAGTTTATTAGTAACAAAGGAAATAAGATATCTTATTTTGAAATTTGTGGGACCTGATTCTCCAGTGCCTTGAATCTTGTGCAGTTGTTTACATCTTTGTGAAGTGGGTGCAAAACATTACATGAGACGTAAGGCAGAGGAGAATCAGGCCCTTGACTTTTTACCTTGACAGTGTCTTTGGATAACAATGGGTGAAATTTATCACTGTGCAGAGTCAGCACAAAACCTACACATGACTTAAATCCTGTTTTGAGGTCTTAAGTGGGACTTAAATGGTGCCTAGCTCTTGTGCTGACCTTCTGCATGGGAATGAATTTCATCCTAAATGCATTAGCTGTGAAAGTAGCCCGTGACTGATTTGGGGCATCAACACCATTCTATCACTTAACTTGAAAGAGCACATTCACTATACAGATGTGTCTACACCAGCAGCTCTCCATGGGTGCAGGTGCACTGGGTTAGAACTAATAGCAGCTTTGTAAGGCTTTGTCGGAGAGTTAAACAACACAGTAGTTAAAACCAACTGAGCCTTGCTGAAACTAGAGGCTTCTGGCCCTGATGGAGCTATTCCAGTAGAGGATTATGGGTCTGAGTTTGGCTAATATAGACAATGGCCAGGCATGTGGTATTCTGGATTAAATGAAATCTCATTGGAAATTTCACTGTTTTAATTCGTGGCTTTCCGGACAAGGTCATGCTAATGTTTTTCTTTTTATTTAAATTAAGGCCAATTAAACTTAACAGCAACTCTTACTTGATCAGTTGTAACACAAAATTATTTCCTACAGTAAGAAGGACGAGGTAATTATTTAAAGAACCCCTTGAGTTTCCTTTGAGTATCAAATTTCGTGGAGCAATGTTGTTAGGGACATATAATGTTCTCTGCTCTACCATCTTTTTCAGTTTGACAGTCATGAAGCCCTTTTGAATTATGTGTCCTTGGCAGACTGGAATTGTAGTGGCACTCAAGTGGCTATCTATATAAGTTTTATCTGCTATCATGCAGAACATGGGGGGAGGAAGAAAGCCAGTTTTAGTAAGTGTACCTCATAGTGATCATTAATTGCTATGAATCAGAATTATTATCCTAGAACCACTACCTCTTGGTGCTGATGGGGTTTGCCTTTTGCTTACATTGATCAAAACAATGGACAATTTGGCGGGAAGCTCAGAATAGTAGTAGTTTCTTTGATTTTTCTTTTTTGTTTTCAAAGATGAGAATTTCACACCTTTTCCGAGTGCCAATCAGTAAAGACCGTAACAGCTTGCCAGTCAGAGACGATTGTAACCTAGCTAATGTGCTTTGGTATTAAAATGTCTAGTAGAAATTGATCTGTGTTTGCAAGATGGAGATCTTATTTCTGTGCATGTGTTTTAGGAAGTTCACATTTTATGCACAAAGATTTAATGATTAGTTAGATGTAATGATCAATAAAGGAGGGCCCTAATCAATCCTTATAAAAGGATTCCCTACAGCTGTTCTAGTTTGAGTCAGGAATTTAATAAATGATCCTATTTGAGATCTGTGAATAGTGTTTTTATCTCTTGGGTTGGGAATAGGAGAAAACATATTAAAGAACAAAAACATGAACAATACTTTTAAAGATACAATTGCTTTGTAAAACTTCTGTTACTGGAGTGCAAAATGACATATTTTGCCCCGAGAGGGAATAAGAAATGTAATAATTAAATTCAGTTAAAAAAAACAAAAACTCTCTGCATACTTTGTTGTATGCACTGTAATTTTTACTCATCTAGCATATTATTCTGCTTTTGTTTATGAAGGTGGTTTTGTACAAAGGGTTGAATAAATTGCTTTAAATTAGAATTTTCCAGCATTGAATTGAATTGGTGAAAGATAATGAATAAACCATTTTGTGTTTTAGGATTTCTCTGTAAACATAGTTCATAAAAGCTGGTTACAATGTATTCATTTATATCACTGGCATTTAAAAAAAATCCCGCTTGGCAGAAAGAAT